TCAGGTGTGGGTGTAATTTTCTCTTATTATAATGTGGTAATTTTAAGTATGTGGGCTGAAATTAAGTAAACCCTAATTAGGGTTAGAGTCGATAATGGATCGACTTTATGATTTCCTATATAATAGCTAGGTCTCCTCTCGTTTCCATATCATTTTGGCATGCTCCATTGACGGCTGATTATTTTGAGAAGCAAAGAGAAGAAGATCTAGCTGCTAAGATTAGAATCCTTAAAAAAAAAAAAAGGTCAAATTCCTTTATCGTTCTGTAGGTGGATTTCTTTGCGTAAGTCCTCACAATTGTAAATAATCGATTTTTATTTTTGCTGGATCATGTTTATTATGCCATGTTAAACTTATTTTTGTAGAATTCTTTGTGTTTGCTATTCATATCTTCCTTTAATGACCGGTGAAGTTTTGAAGGTTTTTGATTCTCTTAGTTAAGGAAAAATCAGTATCGATTGAAATAAATATCTTTACAATTGATACAAAATCGAAGTAACTTTAAAAAATGAGAGAGTAATTATTGGTGAATTTTGTTGATGTTCAATGTGAAATCTAGAGAATCTTTGGCTTTCCAAATTAGGGTTTATGAAGGGACAAAAATGGGGATTTTAGTTCTTCGCGGTAAATGGAGTTGAAGTGATGGTGGCGGAGCGGAATCACCTGTCGTGCCTTTTTCTCAAGTAGTCAGCAATATGGGATTTTTCATATAAAACCACATTTCAATTCTCTCTCTCTTAAGAAAAAAAATGTAATCTACCCACTGTATTCTCTTTCCACCATGGCTGCTACTTAGTTCCTTGTGTCCCTTTTCTCTCATCTTCAGTGGAGGCACTTTGGCTGGCGACTTAGCACTGGAACCTATCCCTATTTCTGTCCGTTTTCTTCCCTTCTCGCTGCCCGATTTCTACATCCCGTTCGGGCTACATTTCTTGGTGACTCTTGTGCGATTACTTCGTGGTTTCGGAGTAGGATTTTTGTTCTATTTATATGTAGTTGTTTTGTGTTTTTGGGGCTGCTAATCTGACACTGATTCACCCACTATTGGTGCCAATTGATCGGAGCAGATAGAAAAGTGTTCATTTGCATTTATAGTACTTTGTTGCTCCACTTCTTCTCGCGTGTGTGGGTTTTTGGAAGAGTTCTGTTGATACATAACTGAAAGTTTTAATCTTTTTAAAATTATATACAAGTTGCTTAGCAGTCTATACTGGTGGTTTATGGAGTATTTTTGCCAAAATTGGGGCTGTGGATATGGCGAATGTAAATAATCTATTTAGCTTAGTAAGTCAGCTTATTGGGAATTTGGGTTTTCCTGTGAAGTATTGTACCAGCTTCTTCACATCTTGTTTGTATTTCCCATTTCTTGATTATTTTTTCCATGAAATTTCCAAGAAAACTATAGTGCCCCGCAGGAGCGGACGCACAACTTTAACTTTTTTGGGGGTGGGGTGGGCAGGGGCTCTTTGCAATTTTTTAATTTTTGAGGGCTTGCCTACAATTAAAGCAAAAAGGGCCATTTTGAAATTTTAAAGAAAATGGACCTATTCTGTACTTTCTATATTTTGAGGCCTTTTTTCATAATTTTAATTTTAGGGTCAATTTTACAATTTTGAAATATTGAATTTGAATTTTTGAAATGAAAATTTTAAAATTTGATCCAAATATATTTCAATTT